GGAGTATTTTTAAACCCTCTGGGTCATTGTAGCTTGTCGTCGACACCGTCTGTGTCGCATTTATAGCCTAATTATCGTAAGATGGGCTACTCTCGAAGTCAAGTCGCTGTTCTTCTGGGCCAAATCTGTGTGCTCTCTTTCTCTTTCGAGTGTATATTCCCATTCGTCAACCAAGTGAGTGATATTTCGATCGGCCTTTGGGTTTTAGATGCATTCTCTTCCACGATCTTAACGCCACCACAGTTTCTTGTGGAGATTGGAGTGGTGGATGACCCCGCGGACGTCGGGTTCTACAGTGGGATCGTGGAGAGCACTTTTTCGGTCACCTCACTCTTAGCAGGTCAGATCCAGAATCTTTTTGCTCGTATCCGAATCCAGAATCTTTTTGCTCGTATCCGATCACTTTGTCTGACCGATTGAACTAGTCTTCCCTCTTGCTTGGGCATCAGATCACTATGGTCGCAAGCCTGTCATTATTTTAGGGGCGTTAGGAGTATCTATTTCATTGGCCATGTTTGGACTCAGTACCACATATGCCATGATGATCATCTCTCGAGTCATCGGTGGTGCTGTGGGTGGGAGCACAACTGCAGTCCGAGTCATGGCTACTGAACTATCGGACAGAGATTCAGAAACATACATTGTCAACTGGATCTCCATGGCATATCGAATAGGCCAGATCATCGGTCAACCCGTTGGCGGTGTTCTTGCTCACCCCGAGAAGACCTTTCCCAAATTGTTTGGAGGTGCATTTTGGAGAGCGTATCCATATGCACTGCCTTGCTTTGTAGGTGCAGGGTATGCCTTCCTCATCGCCGTTCTGGCGGCTCTCATCCTTCGAGAGACATTGCCCTCCCACCGGGTCTCACCACCCAAGCCGTCAAGGACGCCTAGTTTGGAAGAGACAGACCCACTACTTCCTCATACCGAGGGTAGGGAACCTCATATCACCCTTCAAACCGGTGCACCTCTCTATGATAAACCCACCCATCCCTCAATCCGTTCTGTCTTCACCTTCCAGCTCTTCTCTTTATTACTCTCCAATGCATTCATGGTCCTTGTGAGCGAAGGTTTCTTTGCTCTCTATCCCTTGTTCGCGTACACTTCCATCGAGCTCGGAGGGCTAGGTCTCAACTCTGCACAAATCGGAGAACACATGTCCGTTCGAGCTCTGATTCACCTCGTTGTTCTGGTACCCTGTTCAGCAGCGGTCAGAAAATGGGGCAGGCTGAACGTTTACAAGATTAGTCTGGCCGCATGGTTTCCCACTCTGCTGTGCTTCCCAGTACTAAACTCGCTAGCGAGGAGACGATTGGAAGGTAGTTTCCTGTGGTATGCAATGCTCCTGTTACTGTGGAGTGTGTGGTCAGTGACAGGGTGGTCGTGGGGTGTGTAAATTTATTGCAATAGACAGTACTTCTGACATACTGTCGTCCCTACAGCTGCCTCATTCCTACTCATATCAGACCATTCCCCAAATGCGGAATCCTTATCCACCGTACAGGGTTTATTCTCGAGCTCCATTATCGCACCGCAGGCCATCGCTCCAGCCTTGGCCACTTCCACCTTTACTCTTGCCATCAAGAACCCGCAAGTCTTGAACGGAAACGCGTTCTGGGTGGCTTCTATTGTTCTATGTACGTTGTTTCCTGGATGGTATCGTGGACTCCGGTCGTTTGGGACAAAGCTGACGATTGCCACTGTAGGTATGGGTGTATTTGCACATTCTTGGACGTTGAGAGAGTCATTGTTTGACTGGAGGGCACAGTCTCAGGTGAACAGAGACGATACCTCGGGAGCTTGAGAGTCATGTTCGCAATGCTGCATAAAAGCCAGTTCCAGAATGTCGGAATAT